GATATGACCCCATTTGTTGATTCTTGATGTTATTTCTTATGCAGTTGGGGTTCTGCTCATTTTTTATTGAGACAGGTTCTCACTATGTCTCCCAGGTTGGCTTTGAACTCACAAGCCTCCTGCCTCAGCCTCTGCAGTCAACTGCTTTTCAATAAAGATACCAAGATCATCTAACAGGAATATAAAAATATTTTCAATAAATGGTGCCAGGATAACTGGATAGCAATATACAGAAGAACAGAACTGGACCCTTAACTCCTACATATAAAAAATTAACTCAAAATGGGTCAAAGCCCTAAATTTAAGAGCCAAAACTTTAAAACTTCAGGAAAAAAATAGATCTGTGACCTTAAAGCTGGTAAGGGATTCAGAGATACAACATTAAAAGTACAAGCAACAAAATAAAAAAAAATTGAACTCCAAAATTAAAAGCATTTCGAGCTAAGTGGATGCACATTGAGGGGATACTCTTAAGTGAAATAAATAGGACACACGTGTGTAAATACCGAATAGTTTCTCTGGTGTGAGAAACTGAAAGTGTAAATAAGGACTAAATGTATAATAGGTCATGTGAAATAGGAAGAAAAGGGGCAAAGCGGAAGGAAGTGGGAGGGCTAGGGAAAGGATAGAAGGGAATGGGATTAATATGAGAAAATGGAAAAATAGGAACAAAATCTTTGTAAATAGGGAGGACTGGAGGGGTTGAAGGGAGGGCTGGGCAAGGGTGAAAAATAAGAACCAAGAGAGACTATGTAAAGGTGCAAATTTCCAATGATGGAAGTCATTATGTTGTATACCTAAAATGTACCAATGATTAGAATGAATAATCGATAATGTAAAATAGGAAGAAAAGGTCCAAAGGGGTAGGGGTAGTGGGAGGGGCAGGGGAAAGAAAAGAAGGGAAAGGAAAAAATGATGAGAAATGGAAAAAATAGAAATAAAGTCTTTGTAAATAGGGAAGGGTGGAGGGCGTGAAGGGAGGGCTAGGAATGGGGAAAAAATAAGAACCAAGATGCATTATGTAAAAGTACAATTCCCAGTGAGAAATGTAATTGTGTTGTATACCTACAATGTACCAATAAAAGAATTTAATACAAAAAAATAAAATAAAATAAAATAAAAGCATTTCAGCTTCAAAAGACATTATAAAAAGTGAAAAAAATCCATACGTTGAAATAAAATATTTGTAAATCATGCATCTAATAAGGGACTTATATCTAAAATGGATAAAGAACCCTTATGACTTAATAATAAAAATATACATAGCCAAATTTTAAAATGAACAAAGGATTTGAATAAACTTTTCTCCAAAGAATGTATACAAATAGTCAATAATCATATAAAGAATGCTTAAAATCACTGGTCATCAGGAACATGCAAAACCATTATTAGATACCACTAGGATGGCTAGCATTAAAAAGTTAAATAATAACAAGTGTTGGTGAAAATGTGGAGAAATCAAAGCCTGCATACTCTCCTGATAGGAATGTAAGATGGTGTAGACACTGCAAAAGCTTGGCAGTTCCTCAACTAGTTGAACAGTTACGTTATGACCCAGAAATTCTATTCCTTACTATAAACCTAAGAAAAATGAAAGCGTTAATCCACACAAATGTTTGTGGCACCATTACTCATAATAGCCAAAAAGCAAAAACAACCCAAATATCCACCAACAGATGAATGGATAAATAAAATGTGGTATATCAATGGAATATTATTATTCAGCCATAAAGATGAATGAAGCACTGATATAGGGAACAACATGAACAAATCTTGAAAAAGTTATAAGAGAAAGAAGTCAGTCACAGAAAAACACATATGATTCCACTTATACAAAATGTCCAAAATGGTCAACTCTAGAAACAGAAAGTAGATCGGTGATTGTTTGGGCCTGGGGCAACAGAGGACAAGCAATTGAGGGTACTAAGCTAAAAGGTGTAGTGTTTCTTTCTGAAGTAATGAAAATGTTCTAAAATTGGCTGTGATAATAGCTGTGCAACTCTGAGGATAAATTAAAAGCCACTGACTTGTGTACTTTAAATGAATGAACTGTGTGTGTGGAAAGCAGATCCCGACAAAGCAGATCCCCCAAAAAAGCTACCAGATATTCTAATCAAAGTAAAAGATGTAATATTGGGAAAAAGCACTATGTACACCTATAATGGTTTCTTCAAATTACACCGGCTATTATAATAAAGGAAAAATTCCCCTAGAAAACCTGGGTCCTATCCTCAGGTTGCATACTCCCTCCCTAAAGTCAGCCACTTCCTCCACAGGTAGTGGTACAGCCGAGGAGTGTTACTTGAATCCCTTTGGGAGGGGGTGCAAGGGATATGCTCATATCCCCACACAGAGACAACATATATACCATATAGCATGCTCCCTGAAGGGAACAATTTTATCACTTTCCATTTCCAGAAATGCTTACATTCCCTTTGAAAGTCTGTACTCAGGAACCTGTCATCTAGGCAACATCTTCACCAGTTCAGAGAAACCACACTGCTGAAGGCCAGCAACCACCTACTATGCTTGGGAAAGGCCAAGGAATTAAGGAAAACTTAGCAAAGATCTTCACAGTAAAGGAACTCCACACTGGTCACCAAAACTGACTCTGAATCCACAGCCTCCAACCCTGGCAATTTTGCGAATGGTCAAAATACTATGGCTGTGTGTGTGTGTGTGTGTGTGTGTGTTGTTGTGTGTGCGTTGGGGGAGTGGGATTGAACCCAGGGCCTTCTCACTGAGGTACATCCCTGGCCCTTTTTTATTTTTGAGTCCAAATTATCTCATTAAGCTACTAAATTTCCCAGGCTGGACTCAAACTTGCAATCCTCCTGCTTCAGCCTCCAAGAGTGCTAGGATTATAGGTATGCAGCACCACACCTGAATAGCTTCTTAGCAGTATAGATTCTCAGTCTCCACCCTAGACCTATTAAACCAAATTCTCTGGAGCAATATTCTAGGAATCTATGTTTTAACAGATTCCTAAGATGCTTCTGATGTTTGGCCAGGTTTAGTAATCACTCATAGGAATCTTCATGTGCAAATAAATGTGTGCAATGAAAACAGAAGCCCAGAAGAGGAGCACCATGACAAACTGTACCACAGGAAACAGAGCTAATGCAGGAAACAGAAGAGAACTTTTCAAAGTTTATAATTAGTGTCCTTGGAGAGATTTGAGAGGAAACTATAAATAGGTGCAGGAGGCTCTCACTCCATCCCCAGTCCTGCCTGCCTCCTCCACACTCAAGTCATAGCCATCAGTTCAAGCACAGTGTTTGCTATACCCACCAGACCTAACCATGAGGCCAGGGCTGGGTAAGGATTCACACCCCTCTGGGCCTGAGCCTTCCCCAACTTCCCAGATCCACTGGGGAGGTTAAATCAATAGAAGATTATGTACAGATTGATGCAAGGAAATAGTCACGTGATCTCAGTAAGGAAACAGAATGACTTACAAAACAGCACGTACAACTTGATGATCACTTTTATTGAAATTAGAAAGAGAAGTCTGGAAGAATATAAAAAACAGTAAGTACAAGGGCTGGGGATTTAGCTCAGTGGTTCCGCTGCCTGCCATGCAAGCACAAGGACCTGAGTTCTATCCCCACTACCAAAAAAATAAATAAATAAATAAGTAAAATGAACAATGAGGTATATTTTCACTTTTTAATCAGGACACAGCTAAGGTAACAGGGTTGTAGAGCTGCCTGGTGCTCTCTGTTGACCACCTCCAACTCCACTACCCCAGATCATCCTGGAGGACCCCCCACACCATCTCACAGAGCCCACATGCCCCATGGGGTCACAGGGATTGCCTTTCGGGGCCGGGGAGCACTACGTGACACAATGCAGGTAACACACTCGGCACCTAGTGGTACTCAACAGATGGTGGCTAGTTAGTTGCTCTTTATTTTCCTCCACCACCCAGATGAGTGAATTCCAGGATACCAAGCCACAGCCCATCTCTAGGGCCCAAGTTGGTTGTGATGAGCCAAGGTGGTAGGCAGGAGTTGGCCTGAGAGAAGGGGAGCCAGGAAGCCAGCAAGGGTCTAACTCCTTGGGTGTTCTGCCTTTGAACTCTGGGCATAGGCCAGTTCTGTTGCAATAACTGCCCTGATCATTATAAGAAAATTGTTTGCAAGTTCAAACAAAAATGTGCTTCTCAGGTCACCTCCAGAAGGACTGAGATACCAAGCCTGCCACTGCCTCACTGGAGATCTTCTGCCTGGGTCAAAGTCTTCACAGAGGAAAACAAACCCCCTACTCACAGAGAGATGCAGGACCAGCGAAGAAATGAGCTGAGCTGGGCTGCATTCTAGAAAAGGGCTGTTACCTTTGCTATGGCTACTTAGAAGCCCAGCTCTGCCCAGGCCCGCAGGTATCGGAGGGAACCCAGTCTGCAACCTAGGAGCTTGGGGGCGGAGCCTACTGCCCCTTTCGGTCCACCTCAACCCCGGAGGACAGCCCTGGGACTCTCCCAAGGTTTGTCGCAGATAATTCTCCCATCTCAGCTGCAGGTCAGATACTCCATGGCGAAGCCAGATTACTGCCTCCAAAGTGAGCCTAAGGGGTGCAAGGCCACCTGGACTGACCCTGCATTTGGGGGTTCCTAAGCTCATGAAAAATGAGTGAATGAGATCTCCAGGTTCAGTAACTAGACCCTGATTTAACCCGAGCTACATTCAAATAGGAAACTCCGTGATGACAACCCAGGTCTCTGAAAGATTAACTGGGGTATGATTATTCCAGCCAAGTGAGGCAGAACTAAGTGCAGCCTGCGGTGGCAGCACCAGCGGCAGGCAGCAGGTGGTGTCCTGCTGCTCAGCCTGAGCCAGTGCCCTGCTCCCTTCCGGGCGATCACAGGAGGAAGGGGCCCGAGCGAGTGCCCCTAAAGAGGAAGTGCGCCTGCCTCCGCCTCTCCTGTCACCACTCGAGCTTGCCTTCCCAGGGGACGCGAGCAAGGGAAGCAGCCCCGGCAGCCCGCCCGAGGCACTTACCAAAGGTGGTGAGGTAGAAGGACAGGTCGCGGTGGGCGCGCCGGCTCCCGAGGGAGACGCGGTGCAGGGAGCGCTCCATGGGTGCCCGCTGTGGGCAGGGCAGGAGCGCCTGCAACCCGAGGCGGCTGTGTTGCTGCCGGTAACCGAGGTAGCAGGCTCGCCGCCCCCGGCGCCAGCTTCTCCAAGGGGGAGCCGGCCAGAGCCGGGCTGCTCAGCGCGCTGTTGGAACGGCCGGGCGCGCCAGGCCCTGATTGGCCCGCGCTGGTTTGAATGGAGAGATTTCCACCTGACAGAGCAGACGTGGGCCAGGCGGAGGAGGCGTGGACACAGGGAGCAGTAAGGACCGCCACCCAACACCAGAGATGGCTTCTACCGCGAGAAGCCTGCCAGACGCAGTGGCCAAGTCTGGACCCCTGGTTCCCGCACTGCGTTTCAGGCTGGAAGTGCCAGCCTCGGAGGGACCCGTGGCCCGGTGTGCCCACTCGGGCGGGCTTGGCCTGCTCGCCCAGTCCCCGGGCTGCAATTAGGTGAGTTACAAACGGGTTTGGAACTGGCTTTGAAGCTCAGACCTGTAATCATCAGCCCTGAGCAAGGCCAAAGGAGCACCCTCCTAACTGCGAATGGGTCTGGAAACCTGTGTGCTCTGCACTTGGACAGGCTGCCCCACCAGGCAGCGGCCCCTTCCCAGACTCTTTCTGTCTGGACTGCTCTCTAGAGCCTTCTCTTGGAGGAGAGAGAGCACCCTGGCACGGGTCCAGACTGGAGCCGCTTGGTCCAGCCAGCCTTATGACCTCCCACCTGCAGCTGGGGCATCACACACAAGACAGCCCCCTTAGCAACCGAGGACACAGAGAGAGGGAGGTGCCACTGTGGATCTCCTGAGGCTGGTGCTGGAAGGCAGCACTAGGAGGAAGGTCAGCGCTTGTGCAGATTTGTCGGCAAACATTCATCAGACACATCCAGGGAGCAGTTTCACACTAAGACATCTGCTCTACAAATCTCTGAGTGTTGTCACTGTGGAGGGAAAGCTGCTAGACTTGCATAACTCTAAAAATGGGAAGTGTTGGTATTCATCCCTGGTCCCCTGACTTCATTGCCAACTGGTATTTGTGGTTCAGAGATCTCCTCAAGACAAGGCTGGGAGACGTGAGAGAGAAGAGTTATATATATTGAGTAGCAGGTGCCAGGAGCTGAGCTGAGTGATTTACACACATCATCTCGTTTAGTCTTCACAGGAAGCGTAGGCAGTATTAGCTCCAGTTCACAATCAGAACTTCAGGCAGAGGCTAGGCAACTTGCCCAACGTTTACAGAACTAGGAAGAGCCAGGGCTGAAATTCGAACTTAGGTCTGTCTACCTCAAAGGACATCACCTTTCTGTTCTTCCTTGGCCTCCACACCTGCTCCATGGCCAACAGCAGGTGGAGGCAGCAGGAAACTAGATGCCACAGATTCTGCTGGCCACCAGTGGTGCACAGAAACCAGAGAAGGAGCCCTGGAATCAATACACTAGTGGCCAAGTGCAAATGCATCCCATATAGCTGGTGGACTCTTTGAATCCTAGCACCTTGTAAGCCCGTGCCCTGCTCCTCTCCCAACCCCCACACTATGAACATTGCCCTTAGCAGGGGCAGGGCCACATTCCTGGCCCCAACCCCCAGGCACATGGACTTACCCATACCCTGGACTTGGGCATGCCTGATCCACTTCCTGGCTGGGAAAGTCTGAGTCCAAGCATCCTTTCTGGGTAGAGAAGTATCCTGGCTTGGCCACTCCATCCAGCCAGGGAAACTGGGCAACCTCAGGCTCAAGCCACAGGTTGTAGACAGGACACTGAACCCTGAGGTATTGCAGACCTGAAGGCTTGAGATCAGAGTATGAGTTAGGCAAAACCTGCAAGAGCCCCCTGGGAGGGGCTGATCACTCTCAGTAAGAACTTTCAGAAGCCAGGGCAAGGGAAGGCCTGTAGGGAAGAGGACAGTGAGGTGACTAAGGAGACAGTCATCTTCTTCTCAATTCTGCAAAGGATCACTGCAAAGCCCTGTGCCAGGGGAGACTGCCTTGGACTCAGGAGGTTGTGAACACAAGGGACCTGCCCCGAGAAGTGCACAGAGCTGCCTGAGGAAGAAAGGGCTGAGACCCACACTAGACACTTCATCCTCTCCTGGGGACAAAGGTCTCACTGCCTGGCAGGTCCCCTCCTGACTCTGTCTGCCTAACTCAAGAGCTAAACTATTCAGCTATGAGGCCCCAAGGCCAGACTGATCCTGGTCTGCTCCCAGTAAGGCTCCTTTACTTAATAGACCCCTGAAGCCTTTTCTTCTTATTTGTCCTTACAAATTACCTTTTCCACCTGGAGGACAGAGGTGAGTGGGTGCCTGGGCAGCAGCACTGCAGGAGAGACTTGTCCTATTGGCCCATGGTGCGAGCCACAGTTGACATCCAGAGTCTTGATCCTGGCCCTGCTTTTCTCAAGAAGGCAGGGAGTTTGAGGACCAAATGTGGCTGTCTCTGACATACCCTGAGTACCCTAGCACCTTCTAGGTCATGTCTTCCACCTCATTCACCCTACACACACTCCATGTGTACAGAAACACACCACACACCCACAATACAAACACAGGCTTTACACACACTGCACACGTATGTATACTGCACATCCCATATGCATACACACACCGCACAGAAACAGACACACCGCATACCTACCTCACGCATATATAATACACATGCTATGCATACATCCTGTGCACATACACAGGGTAGACACACACATTCACAGAAAATACACTTAAACACATCATGTATGTACACTGCATTGACATGCACAGATTGGCCATACCTATTTTTTTAAAGACTGACTTTATAAGAATAAAGAAATTTGGGTTTAGAAAGAAGAGACTAAAATGTTTATTTGGGTGTACTTTCATGTTAACTATCAAAGAATCATAGTGACTTTAAGATATCATCTGACCCAATAACAAAGAAATTTTTGAAAAATAATGATACAGGATATTTGAACTACCAGATGTTAAAATACTGGGAAAAAAAGACAGCAGATCAATGGAGCAGAATAGAAAGTCCAAGGAAAAGCTTATTTAAAAAACAAGAAAGATTCTTATTTTAAAAATTAGAAGAGGGCTGGGGATTTAGCTCAGTGGTTTTGCCACCTGCTGCACAAGCACAAGGACCCAAGTTCAATCCCCAGTACCAAAAAAAAAGAAAAAAAAATTAGAGGAATAAGCTAATTTGGAAGATATTTTTTAAAGGAAATAATAAAGCCAGGCATGATGGAGCAGTAATCCTACCTCTCTTGTGTGGCTGAGGCGAGAGGATTCCAAGTTTGAGTACTGTCTGGGCAACTTAGTGAGACCTTGGGTCAAAGTAAAGAATAAAGAGCTGGAAGTAGTCACTTTAGCTGCATCAGCTGCTGCAAAGTTGCAGCCCGAACCTGGTCGAGAAGGCTGCATCCACAGCCAGGAACCCACAACCCGCACCTCCAGCCCCCCCGGGGCACCCCAGGCTCTGGCCCGGAAGGAGCCCAAGAAGGACGAGCCCAAGAGCAGCAAGGAAGCACTCATAATCCCTCCAGATGCGTCGCCATGGATTGCAAGGACCCAGATGATGTGGTACCAGTTGGCCAAAGAAGAGCCTGGTGTTGGTGCATGGGCTTTGGACTAGCATTTATGCTTGCAGGAGTCATTCTAGGGGGAGCATACCTGTACAAATATTTTGCACTTCAACCAGATGACGTGTACTACTGTGGAGTAAAGTACATCAAAGATGATGTCGTCTTAAATGAGCCTTCTGCAGATACCCCAGCTGCTCGCTAACAGACAATCGAAGAAAATATTAAGATCTTTAAAGAAGATGAGGTTGAATTCATCAGTGTGCCTGTCCCAGAATTTGCAGACAGTGATCCTGCCAACATTGTTCATGACTTTAACAAGAAACTCACTGCCTATTTAGATCTTAACCTGGATAAATGCTACGTGATTCCTCTGAATACTTCCATTGTTGTGCCTCCTAGAAACCTGTTGGAATTACTCATTAACATCAAGGCTGGAACCTATCTGCCTCAGTCATACCTGATTCATGAACACATGGTTATTACTGATCAAATTGAAAACATCGATCATCTGGGTTTATTTATCGACTGTGTCATGACAAGGAAACTTACAAATTGCAACGCAGAGAAACTATTAAAGGTATTTAGAAACGTGAAGCCAGCAATTGTGTCACAATTTGGCATTTTGAAAACAAACTTGCCATGGAAACTTTAATGTGCTCTTGAACGGTCAAGAAAAACATGGAAACAAATTTAATGCCACAGCATAACCCCACCCTTTGTACTTGTGCAGTGATTATTTTTTAAAATCTTCTGTCATGTAAGTAGCAAACAGGGCTATCTTTTCATCAACAGGCACTATCTTTTCATCTCATAATTCAATTAAAACCATTATCTTTAAAAAATTTAAAAAAAAATTTTTTAAAGAATAAAGAGCTGGGGATGTAGAATAGTATGAAGGCCCTGAGTTCAATCCCCTGTACAATACACACACGCATGCACGCATGCACGCACGCACGCACGCACAGTGTAGAAATTTATACAAAGAAAAATTAGATTCCAACAATAAAACTGTTGTGCCCAGATTACAAAGTCCCAAAGACCACCAGGAGGCCGTTTCCGATGTAAGCACACGAGGGTCATTTATTCAAGCTTAAGCAGGGACTCTCAATTGTCACCGACACAGCGGATCAAGATTGAGAGCCCCGAGTTCCAAATTAGCAGGGTTTTTATTGAGATTACAGCAAGCTTCAGTCATTAGCAGCCATATGATTGGTTAACATTTAGCAAGTATGAAGTGTAGAATTTTGATTGGCTAGGCTCATTGGGGGTTGAAGGGGATTACATATAGGTTTTTACAAGAAAAATGGGGACAAAGGTTAGTGGTCTACTGTCACGTACTGATGGTCAGCAGACATCTTGACTCATGGTCATGACCACCTTGTGTGGATAGTCAGCACGTTAACAGATTGTCCTATAGATAGTGGGCCCGGGACACTTGTTTCTAGGGCAAACAGATGGCTGAGTAATGAGTTTAGGAATCTTGAGTTACAGATCATGTCTTTTGTCCCAGATTAAGCACATTTAATCATTAATTTGAAAGAACAAAGGAGACTGCTCCATTTTGGACAAAATGGAGTCATTCTGGTCTCACATTCACAAAATGGAGTCACTTTTGGTCTCACAAAACAAACTGGGCATGGTGGTACATGCCTATAATCCCACACTTGGGAGGCTGAGGCGGGGCAATGGTTACAAGTTTAAGGCCAGCCTCGACTACATAGTAAGCCTGAGCCACATAGTGTGAGACCTGCCTCCAGAAAAGAAAACAATAAAACAAAAAACCTTTGTTTTTCAGCCTTTGAGAAGACTGATAAAATAGGCCTCTGGCAAAACTTAAAAAGAAAATAAAAATAAATAAGTTTAGGAAAGAGAAAGATAACTAAGACATAAAGATAATTTCTAAATTATAAAAAAAAAAGACATTGCAGCCTTATTGTATGAATTTGAAAATCTGGGAGAAATGTTTTATTTTCTAGAAAGTATGCATTAATAGAACTTATATAAGAATTTGATGTTTAGCTTTATAATTATAGATCTAATAGATATTTATCTCTATACTACAAATCTGTAATGGTTAATAGATCACTAACCAGAGAGAAAACAGAGAAGAAAACCAAAACACTACCTGACAAAATTTTAGACAGCCCAGATAGTTTTAAAGGGCAATTACACAACCTTCAAGAAACAGATGGTGCCAATGTAATTTAAACTATTTCAGAACCAAGAAACAACTGGAAGATTGGTCAGTGCTGAGTGGAGGCGTACACAAAGGGACAGTGTAAATAAGCTCAGCAGCAGAAAACTATAGAGCAAGGGTCAAAAATTAAAATAAGAGTAGATATTAATGAAATGAAAAATATACTATAGAAAACATGTTAAAAGGTGGTAACTGAGGCCAACATTCTCTAAGTTTTGTCACATTCCTCTTCATTAAAGAAAAGCTAAACAATTTCAAGTTTTTAATGTAATACTTGCCAATTTTTGAATAATGACAACTCATTCTGAACACTTTCAAATATCATGTAGGCTACATAGCATACATCTATGTGTAAGAAGTCACTAAGTTGAAATCTCTGCATAGGCCAATCTGACCTAGAAGTATAGATGTAAAACCACTAAATAA